AGCCATGCGGTCCACTGACAGTAGGAGTAGGATGTAGATGGCTGAAGCAAATTTTCTCAATTTTTTTTTAAAAGTTTCTTTTTTTTCTAAGAATTACTTTCAAAAAAATCAATAACTTATTAGGAGCTAAAAAGAATTGAACGATATAAATTATGCAGCCATCGAAAAATCTAGAAAATTTAGATTTTTGGACAAAACATTTTGAAAAAAAAACAACACTGAAACATTTATTTAGAAAACTAAAGCTCTCCATATTACTTGGACAGTTTTTCTTAATTGCATAGCTGATTTAACTATTTTTCTATTTTTTTAACGCACCATATGAAATTAAGATTTTCAGTTGTTTACTAACCAATCACAGTTGTGGACAGGATTGTAAATGCAAAGAATTTGCATGTGAACCCTGTGACATGTACTTGAGCCAATCCGACCAATGGCATCACAGTTAGGGTATAGTTGAGCAGCAGTAGACATATGTCAGCACATGCAAGGTATCTTATAAAAGCAGCACCCGAAGTCACCCCCAGTCTCGGAGCAATAACAATGTTGAACAAATTTCCCACAACTCCGAGAGTGGAAGTCAAAATGATTGAAAATTGAATACTTTTTACTGCCAGAGATTGACAGAAAACTTGGTCATCCAGATTTGGCGGAAGGTCCGGAAACAATGTTGTGTCGTTCGTTTCGGCTTCACTGACCTAAACATAGCTTGAGGTCTAAATTTTAAACACAGAAACGAAGTGGAGTCTCGCAACACTGGCGCCATAAGTAAAACATTACATTACAAAACAATCTACGAAAACAATATCTACAAAAATATATCAACAAACCTCCTATCTGCAAAAACTTTATACTTTTCACTCGGAAGATTTCTTAAGCAGCCTTAACAAGCATTAAGAAAGAATCATCAAGCGGCAACTGAGACAAAAAAAATTAGGTCGACCCTCGCTAAGCCAAAAATTAAAACTGTAGACAAGAAAAACATTCAAGCTATAATTTTGTTAAGTAACGTTTTTACGACCCATCCTTACTGAAATAGGCAAAAGTATTTTAAAAATGGCCCTTGAAACTGCTCTTGAAAGTTGCCATTGAAATAACTTGACTTGCGAGCAACTAAAACTTTCATTGCAATACAAGATACCAATTAGAAAAAAGAAAAAAGTCTTCTTTTTTTTCAAAACAAAAAATTAAGCTGAAAAGTTAACATGATAAAAGATCAGAAGTTATTTCTAAAAAAATCTTTATCTTGGATTCTGTTTATAAAAAGAACCTAAAAAAGCATGGAAAATCAATGACGGAGGGCAACTAAGACAAATTTTTGTGTCGAACCTCTGTAAGCCGAAATCGAAACTGTAGATATAAAAAACATTTAAGCTATTAATATTTTTGAAGTAAAACTTTTACAACTCGTGGCTCCTGAAACAGGAAAAAGCACTAAAAAGAAATCGCCCATGAAGCTTCCCAACATTGGTCAACCAAGCTGATATAACTTACGTCGAACAACCTAACCGGAAAAAAAATCAAAAGTCAGAGTTGGTAAACGCAAAAACTAGAGCAACTTTAAACGCATAAATTATATTACAAAACAATTTGAATGAAAAACTGAAAAACCCAGCTGAGAAAAAAACGCATTGTAAATTGCATTCGAAAAAAAACAACGGAACAACAGCAGACAGAAATTAAGACGAAAACCTTGAACAGAAAAATAATAATTTTTTTTTCAATCATAATGTTTGAAAAAAAAATATTTACTAACCCTCTTGAACTGACAAGTAGTTTTATTTGAATTTTCAATAAACTGCACAAATCAGCTTCTGAACTTGCCTAGTTTCCGACTGCCAGTAAATTGCTTGCGCAAAGGAAAAAATTATATTGATATGAAAGCAATAGTCCTTGCAAGTATCTAGATCCATGGCCAACTTGATCTTCAAAGTTTCATTTCTAACTTTTCCTTGATCTATTGCCAATATGCTGCAGCTAGTTAGAAAAAAAGCAGTAGATTTGTAGGCTACATTCGAAATAGGCACA